GTAGTAGTAGTAGTAGTAGCAGCGTTAGCAACTTTATTTCTAACATTTTTATAATCAAATTACGGGTATTCCTACACATTAGTTTGGCTCATGATAATGTGACGACGATGGTGATTATTACAGGACGGCTTGATTGAGGATCTGAGCGTTCCCGGCACGGCCCGGTGATAAACGACACAGGAGGTTCAAGGAACTTTTGGCTAAAAAAAGGGTTTCGGTATTTAGGGCTTGTAGGTTTTCGATTCAAACCACAGATTTCACTGATCATCAGAAAGCCTTGCAACTCTAAGGCTTTAAGGCATCGTTGAAGCGAGGATCACATTCAGATCCAAACCGCTAGATACTGGTGCCTGAAGAACACAGGCAGGCGCACCGTTATTGAATTGTTTTGCCTCCTGGACTCGGGACTACGCCTTGCGAGCTATAGGGACTACCGGGGTTAGGGTTTAGGATCTAGCGGTCATGGGGGGGTCAGCATGCCTCACTTGGGACTGTCCCACTTACTACAATCCCTCATCCGTTAAAAGCAAGTTTGGTCTTGATAGCCCTGAGGATAGATTCACCCCAAACCCTCAAGACAAAGGCATGAGGCCACCTGGATCTCTGGCTTCCCTGGCTTTTGCTACGAGGAGGCCTCTGACCTCGTTATCGAAGCTCTGAGACCGTGAAGCTCGGGCCAGCGTTTCGAAGAAGGACCGTGCCAAAACCGTATGGGTGAGTGACACGTGAAGACGATGAAAGACGCTTAAGCCCTAAACCCCTAAACCCCTGAAACCCTAAACCCTAAACCCTAAACCCTCAACCCTTATCCGGTGGCACCATACTCAAAGTGAAAGGCCCCCGATTTTCCCCTCGCAGCTCAAGACCTGTGCTGGACGCTTCGCAGGCCGCGAGCTACTGGATCAAGGCAACAGCGCAGCGCTGCCTCAGAGCCAGAAGCCCAATTCGCTGATCCCTGTTAGGGTTTAGGGTTTAGGGTTTAGGAAAGGTCGGAACAAGTGGGAGTTTCCCAAAATTAGGGTACCTTATTCTGGGGTCCTTATAATAGGGATCCTATTATTTAGGGTACCATATTAGGGTCCCCTATTTTCGGAAACCCCCAATTCGCTCATCCCTGAACAAGTCTTCCGACCTATGCTCTTTCCCATGTCGGTGACCTGACGAAAGCTTCGTGCGAAGGCACTTGTGATGGCCATGAATCAGAGGATGAAGCTTCGGAGGTGAAGCCATCTCCACAGCTTACAGCTGCCATTCTCTGCAAGCCTCTCGACTACTTCATGATAGAGGATGGGGTTTTCAGCAAGCCAGGATCGTACCAACTCCTTCGGGACTACGTACTCTTGGGCTCCTACTCTCCCAGAAACGCCCAGCCAGAGCATCAAAATAAGCCACCCCAAGCCCTAAACTCCTAAACCATAAACCCCTAAACCGGTGAACCCTAAATAACCCAAACCCCCTAAACCCTACATAACCCTAAACAACAACCCTAAACCCTAAACCTTCCATTAACTAAAACCCAAAGCCTTCCAGAAGCTTTAGCATAGGGGCCTTAATAATTACAATAG